CAGAAGATGTACTGAAATTCTGCTACGCTTTTTCAGCCAGAAATTTTTTGTCATTGACATAGGAGAAATTTTCTGATAAAATTGTTCTGAACAAACAGGGGTGATTTTGCTTTGCATTTGGGAGTCACACTTTTCGTGCTGCAGCAATTAGTGCCCATGGATAAACAGTGGGAAAATAACAAGGAGAGTAAAACAATTTTAAAATCCAAACTGTGTATTTGGAAGGAATCTAAATGCATTACAATCCTGGCATGTTTGTTGCTCACCTCCAGGTATGTCCTGCACGGAGTAATTCAGGAATGCACAGGTCTGTGCCCCTTTATTTGGCAGACTCACCAATCTATTCTACATTTGTGCTTGAGTTTCTAGCAGCTCGTTTTCATTCTTGTTACGTGCCATTAAAATTGTCCATCTTCTCTGGGGGAAGCACGCCTGTGTTTTCAGGCTTCCTGTCCCATCTTCCTTTCAGAGACACTTCCTGTCTATACATGAGTGGGAAGATTTTGGTTGGAAAGGTAAGAGTGCCATGAAGAAGCATTGCAGAGGATTAGCAAAGTCAGCTGTTTCATTCCACAGTGCTTTATCAAAGAAATTCAGATTATGTTGTTTGATTTGTTTTTTGTTTGTTTGCTTTTAGTGTGTTTTGGCCAGATTTTTCATGCCAGGGTGTTTTATTCTCTGCTTATACACACTAGTATATTCCTTAACTGGTCATGTTTACAGCTTGGAGTAAAAGAATAAAATAAACAGGAGGTTTACACTGTCACTGTTGGTAGAAATTAAGAAAGAGAAAGGTAAACTGTCAAAATGTGTTGCTCAAGGTGTGAAATCTGGACTTGGACATGTCCAGATACACATGCAGTAAGGTAAATCTATAACCTGGAGAAATAATGAAAACAGAAAAGGGAAAGGTTGGCAAAGGACTACAGTTTTTTTGAAGGAAATTGTGAAAGCTGTAAGATGCATGGGATGTAGCCACACTCTCTTATTTGTTTCTTGTATTACTTGAGCACTTGTCAATCTATGATGTATTCACCCTCACAAAGGCCTTTTGATAGAGGGAAATTCCATTATCTTCATGTAACCGGACACAGAATGAAATCAGTTGCCTACAATTGCATGGATAACATGAGCAAGGAGTTGCTTTGGACTGCCATGTCCCTGTCAAGGCATTCTGGGTCTTGATGTCTCACCTGGACGAGCGCCCTGCCTTGCACTTTCGCTCGTGCAAGTGTCACGCGCTTTGGTATCCGCGCTTTGTGATGAACTTTGTGTCTTGGATACGAAGCTTTAGGGACAGAAAAACAGCATCCCTCGTACAGATTGAGATCCAGTCCACCTGGCCCAGAGCACAGACGCCCCTGCAGCCGCTGTCTGGATCTGGCAGTGCTGTGTCATGCAATCCAGCGCTGCCCGTGCCGGGGGCCAGGAGCTCAGCGCTTGGCTGAGCCTCTGGGGGGTGAATGTGGCCAGAGCTCTGCGATAATAGCAAGGAATTGAGTTTTATTTGCACCATCACATCACGCTGTTATTTGCCTCCATTTCCAGGGCTGGCATCAGCACAGCAGACATTAATCTTGCACAATTGCATTTGCAGACATGACGGATCCGTTTGGTGACGGAATAAATGGGAAGATGATTATTTTTACTGAGCTACTAGGACCTGTCTCACTGTTGCTTTCCTAATGTGGCTGCATTACCAATGTCAGCAAAAGATGTCTCATTGTATTACCTGAAGGAATTAGAAGTTCCTGTCTGTGTGTGTCTGGTGTTCTCCTGTCCATTTATTAAGAACTGAAAATGTTTAAATTCCACTTAGTTTGTCTTTTTAAGAAGGAAGTTTACATGCTTCAGGATTTATTATCTATGCCTTTTCATTTCCTATGTGTTTTGTTTTGGTTTTTTTTTTTTAAATCATAAAGATCAGCAGTTGCTTTGGTGTCCCTTATACAGTAGTTAATGACCCTTTTCAGCTTCTTTCAACCCTTCAGCGTTACTTTTTTTCCTGTTGAGATATGCAGCAGAGAGGTATTTCTTTGGACAAGCATTTTATTAAAATAACTATTTATTTAACATCTAATTTATATATAACTATATTCCTTAAATGAGTGATTAGTGATTTCGTGATGAGGAAATAATGAGAAATACTCACTAAACTACTGCCTTCAGCAATGAATTTTGTATTTGCCAAATTCCCAGGGGCAATATGCTGACTACAAAAAGAGTTTGAGTAAAATTATTGGTTTTGCCCTTTCTGTTGTCTTGGCTGTGACTGAAAAATATGATTATTATCTTCAGTACCATATGATTTAGCTCATAATAAAGGTGCCTAAATAAACTTAGTCTCGCTTAGTTATGCTTGTCTGGCCATGTTTCAGATCGTTCAGCTTTCAGCAAAAACAATAATAATCAGTTTTTGAGTTATCACTAGTCAAATTATAACCAATAGAAGTACATCCTTTATAGACATCTATATGATGGCTTTTGTAGTTATATGGGGTTTTTTTCTGCTGTGGCCTTGACGATGATAAGTTTGCAATAAATCTTAGACTTGCAGTTGATGCAGGTCCTAATGTATTTTACTGTTAAGGCAGGAAAGATAGAAAAAGTCTCCTTGGAGAAATTTAAATCTTACTCAGACTGTACATTTCCACTCTAAGACAGAAAAAAATGCAATATAGACTGTTGTTAAAGTCCTGCTTTAGACTACTAAGAATACATGATAGACTGGAAGAAAAACCTGATATATTTTTCTTCATGTGCTGATTGAAAAACAAAGCAGACCTTCCAGATTTCCTTCCATTTGACTTTAATGCTGGGTTTTCCTACTGAAATGGGAAAACCTAATTCAACTTTAGAAAGCAGAAGAGAAGCCAAGATATAAATATGTCTTGAATAATTGTGAAATAACTTATTGAAAAACTTCCACTCCCGAAACTTATTGGAAGAACTCTGTAATATGGAATACAGATTTGACCAAAAAAAAAAAAAAAAAAAAAAAAAGGGATCATGAGAGCAACAAATCTGTTTGTCATCTGCACAGGAATACTTAGTCATTTGAATAATACAATCAGGGAGTGCAGTGATACAGACACAGAAAAATGCAGGGCCAAGGATAAAGTCCTGTGGGACATCAGCTGTAAGTGGAAAAGGACTGGATTAAGGATGGCTGTATTAAATAACAAGTGAATGGTCTAACAAAAATAACCCCAGCCAGGAGCACGTTGTTGGCTTTGGTGACACATCCAGAGTTCAGTGAATCAGCAGTGGTGACTTTGGGCATTCAGGATAGCAGAGTGGCAGCATTTCATCAGAGCAAGCTGAGGAGCACACACACCTCAGTCGTTCCAGGGGATTAAGCAGATGGCACCCCTTCAGTGGATATCTCCAGCAAACAGTTACAAACCCACCCTGGCAATGAGAAAAGCAAGTTCTAACTCCTGGTGATGTTTGCAACACAATAGGTGCTCTGGGAATGAGTCAGGTGAGCAGATCTTTGCCAGACATCGTAAGGATAATGGCAAAAAAAATGGCATGCAAAGACACCTGGAAGTGCTGCAGGTGAAGCCTTGGAAAGTGGGGAAAGGAGCCTTAACAGAAGAGTAGCCCTGTAGGTTTTATTTTGGTGACCCATAGGAAACTAGCTGGATAGTTTATCCCTTGAGATATGATATGAGATTGATGATTTAAAATGGTACTTTAAATTTCTTTGATTCATCTGAATGCTAGGAATATATAGGAAGATGTGGGAGATATGGTTACTAATGACCCCAAGCTGAGTATTCAGCAGTCCATTGTTCTGCATCTTTTGTTTGACACAGAACAGGATTCAGCTGGTCCTCTTTTCCCTACTTCATTTACTTTGCATTAGTCTTTATTAAAATTATCTCAATTTCCTACCTTGGGGTGATTCCTAAGCCTTTTAAAGATTTTTAATGGTCTGATTCCTCAGCATCTGATATCACTTCACGAACAGCACAACCTTCCAGCATAATTTTGTTCAAATATACAAAGGTCGTATTCTTTTCTCTCAAATCATTTGACTGATTTTATTTGCAATCTGTGTAGTCATATGAGCCTGAGCTGGAAACAACCAATTAGATCAGACTGTCCCTCCTCTTGCCAATGTGGAATACAGTCCCCCAGACAGGGGACACAGGCTTGATTTTAGCCAAAAAGCTGAGAAGAAGCCTCCTGATCTTCGCCCACTGAAATTTAAACTCTCATCTGCTATTAATCTATTTCCAGCAGATGATTACCAGAACATCTGCTCATGCCCAGTAAATTTTTACTTCCTTCTCCTAAAGCTGACTTCCCTAGTGGGCTGATGAAAGAGTCATTCTGCAGCTCATCCTTCTCTTTAAAATAGCCCTGGTCCACTGAAGAAATGTTAGCTCATTTCCATCTAACTTTCTTTTTAAAAAAGGAGGCATTAGGAAACCCAGCAAATGCATGTTTGGGGTTTACCTGAAGCTGCAAGCACTCACAGGCTTTGAAAAGATTAAAAACTCATTGTAAATGTTGATGCCAGTGTGATATGATACAACCTTGGAAGCTGGAATAGTTGGGCAAAACTGAAAGTGGGAGCCTAAAGCAAAGCCCAGCCAGAGCAGGGGAAATGTTTCTGCTTGTTGGTTCAGATGGGCACAGAAGCTCACTAATGAAGTCATATAACTTACAAAATATCAACACACACACACATACAAAAAAAAAAGCTCTAGCTTGGGGGTTTCTTGTTCACATGATTTTAAACTCTGGACCTGTAGCTTTCTGTCATTGTGGTGCTCACACAGCTACCCTGTATGCAGCAGATTTACGGATTTTAGAGAATTAGAAGATTCATCTTTTAAAGGAAATGTCCCTTTGGAGCCCAGCTGTAACAAAAATTGACTACTCCCTGTGATTGCCTATTGATGAGCGATTTACTTGGAGCTGCCACTTTGAAACAGTTCTGCTGCTGTTCAATAATATTTAAATACATTGTTTTCACTTTGTTCCAGAATAAGAGCCAAGGACTGAGTTTTGTCCGGATCCACGCCCCTTGGCAAGTGCTCAGTCGGGAAGCAGAACTCCTGAAAATAAAAATGCCCACCAAAAAGGTAGGTCTGTCTCCCATTTCCCATCAACAAGTTGTGTGACTGAGGGAGGAGGGATCAGAACGGCCACTGACCGTAAAGAAACCCACGGAGTTACTTTATTTCCAAAATCAGAGCAGATGAGCTGTCAGGCTTATTGTTCTAGGGGATGAAACATTTTGGGATGATTTACTGCTCGGAGCTGTGTTTAGGGCGGGATTTCCAAGGGGGTTTTCAGAGGCAGCTGGCTGATGGTCTGCAGCCAGGAGAGTGATGACAGAGGTGACTTTTAAGGCAGGCTTTGAAAATCGAGAAGGCAGTGGCTGCTTGGATTTTTGTCAAGGACTTTTCCTCCAAGGTGAGGTGAAGTATGGAAGGCAGTGTGATAGCTGGGCATTGCCCTAAGACTTCTCTAAACTCTGCAGATGCCCAGAGAGAGTGTCCTGGTGGTATTAATGACTTAGTGAATTCAGACCTGCCTATTGCCATTAAAGCTTCAGCTCATTATCTTCTCTACAGTCTGTTTTTAGGATAGTTGGTGACAAACATTGTAAATTCTGTGTAGCAGATCCCCAAATCCGTGGCCCTGCAATGATTTAGCCTGTTGGCTAACAACTCCACTGAAGTCAGAGCAAGTGCCTTGTGCTTTCAGTTATGGTCATCTTCTATTGCACTGATGAACACTTGTTTCTTTGAATTGTCATTAGAATTAACAGGCAGATTAATTTTATTTTCTTCCATGGCGTTGTTTGGGGTTTTTTTTTGTTTGTTTGAGAGGTTTTCTTCATATTGATTGCTTTCACCCAGCAAAAGCTTCAGTGTTGTTCACATCTCAGGCTGCTAAAATCTGTCATTGTTGGAAGATTGGCCAAATCAAACCTGCATACTCTTACTGGATTGTGTTTGCATCCCAGAGGGAAAAAAAAATCTGGATATTTTGGATCAATCTTTGAAAATGAGTAGGTTTTGGATAACTACAGTAACTCTAGAAACTTTCTAGAAACGGACCCACATATTTAGCTGTCTCTTTGATCCCTTTCCAGCTTCATTCCTTTTGTGCATTTTTAGTGCCTGCTCATTTCTCCCTCCTTCTGCCCTCATGGGGATTTTCTTCTTCTATCTTTTTGCAGATGAACTAAAGCAAATTTTACACTATTTTAATGGATGAATATTGCCATGATGTTGGTCTGAGTTAAGGTCTTTCCAGGAGCTGCCAGTCTCCAATGGCCTCCCGAGTCATTCACAAACAATTCTGCATCCCCTTGTCTCCTCTGACTGGGAGAAAAAAATCATCTGATATCTCTAGTGAAGTAATGGCAGCACTTCCAGAAATCAAGATGGATGGGAAAATTCTGTTCCTGTCTTATGACTTTTTTTTTTTCTTTTAATTAAAGACATTTGGAAGAAAAATCAAAAATTAACTCTGAAAAAATTGAAATCTTGTATATTGGGGATTTGGCAACACAAAATGAAAAATTTAGTCAGTAACCACTAAAAGAAAATTCTATTTTTGTTCAGAGAGACATAACGTTGTTCTCAAGGGACATAAGGTATTTTTTTGTGATGTTATTTTATTTATTCAAGGATCCCATGAATCCATAAAAAAAGCATTTTCCATGGAAAGTACTTCTGCAACTCTAAACACAACAAATGGGTTGCAATTTATTTTTTTTTTTTTTTAAATTGTTCAGTCCTAAACCATCTTTCAGAACAAATGACAGGCTGGAAGAAGTACCTTTTGAGCACTTTTTACTATATATAAACTCCTGGATAGGATAATACAGTTGGTTTTGGTGGGTGAGACTGGACCGAGCTCAAATATGAGCATGGGGAACAAACAGTGGGAGGAAGAAAGAGGGACAACTGGGAGCAGTGCTCCATTCCCAGAGCTCTGGGATTAATGAGTCTTGGTGGAAGTGGCACTCCCACTCCTGGAGTGCCCTCCTAGACCTGATATTGGTAAATAGGGAAGGATTTCTGGGATGTGTGATGCTCCCAATGAGCAAAAAGGCCAGCAGGGTTGTTACTCTGGATTTCAGGAGAGCAAAATTTGAAGCTGCTCAGTGAGCTAGTTGGCTAACAGTGTTCCCTGGGACTCTGCTTTGGAGGGCTTAGGGGTCCATGACTGCTGGGCAGCTTTAAGACTGTGCTTTAAAAGTGCAGTGCCTCATAATTCCAGCTTAAGTCAAGCAAGGGGGAGAGGAAGATCAGCTTGATTGAATGGGGAATTGCTCGTGGAGCTTGAGATGAAAAAGAAATTTTCCATCTCCAGAAACAAGGCCAGGCCTCACAGGAAGATTACAGGGCTGTGATTCCCATATTCAGGGAGAAAACACGAAAGGCCAAAGCTCATCCAGAGTTAAAACTGGCCAGTGTTGTGTCGTACTACAAAAAGGCTTCCTAAAGTGTCTTAACATCCACAGGTGGTGTAAGGAAAATAGTGGACCAACACTTGTTGAAGATGTTGATAAAATGGGGATGAAGGAAAAGTGGAGATCTTCAGTGTTATTTTTTTTTTTGTAACCTCATTATTTTATATTAATGGTAGACCTTGGTCTGCCTGGACCTCTAAGCCAGAGGAACACAGCTGTGGGAACAGAGACTTCCCATTTGTGGACACTGAATTCTTAGGGCACTCTCTGTATCAGCTGAATGTCCCTAAGTCCATGTGGCCTTGGGAATTCATCCCAGAATACTGAAGGAGTTAGCAGGACCCCTTTCAATCATCTGTCTTGGGAGTCTGGGGAGGTGCTCACTGACTGGAAGCTAAATAATCTTATTAGAATTTACAAGAGGGAAGACCCAGGAAATTTCCTACCTGTTATTCTAACCTCAGGAATAATTGTGGAGAAGGTCATGCCAGGTGGAATTGAAAGGCATGTAAAGGACAATGAATTCATCAGGAACAGGCAATAAGGTTTCACAAAGGGAGAGTCCTGTCCAACTAATTTTATACCCTCCTGCTATAAGGTTTTCTCTCTAATGGACGATGAGAAGGAAGCAGATGGGATTTTTTTTTAGGATTTTAGTAAAGCTTTTGATATTGTCCCTCACAGCATCCTTCTGGACAGGTTTGACAGTGAGATGAGCAGTAAAAAAGTACTGTTGACCCTCTTCATGGGACAAGAAGCCTTGCAGAGGGATCTGGATAGACATATAGCAATTATCACCCACCAGTTATTGATTCTGCTGGGGCAGTCTGATTTGCAGCAGGTAAAGGCCCTTCCTGCTTCGTTTGCTCTCTCTGTTTCCAGTTACAAAGCCAAAATAATCACTCTGCCTTTCAATCCTCTGCCCTGCAGCTCCTGGTTTGGTTAGATTTCTTTGGGATAAAATATAACAAAATCATCTTTGGCCAAAAGATAGCAGGTTTAGGTTGGATTTTAGGAAGAAATTCTTCCTTGGGAGGGTGGGGCAGGCCCTGGCACAGGTTGCCCAGAGAAGCTGTGGCTGCCCCATCCCTGGCAGTGTCCCAGGCCAGGTTGGATGGGGCTCTGAGCAACCTGGGACAGTGGAAGGTGTCCCTGCCCATGGCAGAAGGCTGGAATTAGATGATCTTTATGGCCTCTTCCAACCCAAGCTGTTCCATGATTTTATGATTCTATGATAAATCTTGTGTTAACAATTCTGCTCTGAGTTTTTCTCTGAAAGCAGCATTTTGGAAGTGCAACCCGTATGGATTCTGGTGCTTGCTGTTATATGGGAATATGTCTTCATAGAAAACATTTAATTACAGATTTAAACTTATGTGTGTAGCAAAATCTTTGGCTTTTTTCTTCATTTTAGTGGATTTTTTTGAGGGACCCGCTAATGTACGGTTTTATTTACTCAGATGTATGAAATCACAGAGGAAGGAGGAATACTGAAGACATTAAATGAAATATGGTGCAAATTGACTGAACCCCTGCAACCCCAGGTGCCACAGCAAGAAAATACTAAGATGAAAAACCTGTCCTACCCTTTCTCCAGAGAGAAAATATATTTGTGAGTACTTGAAAATGTGATAAACAGTGAAGAAAATTGTAATTTATCATTTAATGTTGTCATTTTTTTCTACCCATGTTTCAGTCAAAATTCAGAAATTTATCAAGTATTTATGGGAATCCTGAGGAAATGCCCAAGTTGTCAGATTTTCAGTGGAATAACTAAAGCCTAAGTAGCAGAGTCTTCCTTCTGCTGGATAAACATTGGAAGCAGTGCATCAAATAAAATGTCCATGTGTTTAGCTTGAAGTGCAAAAATCCTACCACCAAGTTCCTGATTATTTTGTTCAGGATATTACTGCCTGTTTTGAAGAAACAGAGAACTAGTAAAAACACGATAATATTTCCCCTCTTGATAGATTTATTATAGCAATTAAAACTTGGCTAATAATATGCAGATAAGGAATTCTTGACACCTGCCCTTTCACTCAGAATAATATTTCTGGGTCCAGTTTGACATTAAACACTCTTTTTTTTAAGTTGTGGGTGTCTCCTGGTATTTATGTTTGATAAATAAAATTCAGTAATAAATACAATGACCCGCCATTTCATTTATTGCCCTCTGACAAGTTTAATTGATTCTGAACACAAGTCAAATTGATGGAGGAGAATAAGCTGGGAAGCTAATTTCACATATGGTGATTTTAAGGTTTAAGGGAAGGCATAATTCCAGTGGAATGGCTATTTGAGAGCAAGTGAAATGCTGACTGTTTGGTCGCCTGGAGAAGAGTAATGAACCTGTGCATTAGGTTGATTGAAACCTAATAACATCACCTCAGGATGCTGTAGTGTTGAGGGGATGTTATGAGAAAAATATTAAAAAGTCATATTTTGTAAACAATAGGCAGGTTATTATTTTGTATTAGTTAATAACTTTGCATTTTTATGCCCACCATCACTGCAATCCAGGTAGAACTCGGAATGTCTGGGTCTTAAATAATGCAGTCTATTAAGCCACACTAAACCCTCTATATTTCCTTTAAACATCTGTTTTTCTTGTTAGCTGCGGTTTCTAAATGAATTCTAAATTAGAAGCTTATATCTTATCTTAATTATTCCTTCCATGTCTCACAACAGAACTGATTTTTTTGGTTTTTTTCCCCTTGTGATGTTTTAGGTATAACATCAAAGACAGGGACACCTTTTTTGACAACGCCACCCGCAGCCGAATAGTAAGTGAGCAAAAGTAACACGTCATTCTTGTGGTGGATGGGATTTGCTTTAGCAGTGAATGTTGGTAAATACTTTGCTGATCTCATCAATTTCTGTATTTCTCTGTTCCTGTAAAACACTAAGGAGTCATGTGTATGTAAAGAATCCTTTCCTGGAGCTGCGCAGTGGTCCAGGAGAAGGAGGTGCTGTGCAGGGAAACTACGGACTCCTCTCCATCCTTCAAAGCTCTCTTAAGCCCTGTTCCTAATTTTTAACCAGATTTTATTCCATAAAATATATATTTCACATATACATATATATAATCACGTAGCATTTAACTATACTTCATGTAGTTTTATAAGGATGTGACAGCAGGATTCAGCCTACAAATGTTAGGGCATGTGATCCACTGGCAAAACATGCTAAATGACCTAAATATATGTGCAAATGAACACTAAAGAAGCCACCTGTTCTAAAGCTCCAGTTTGTTTGTAGCTCCACGCTGAAAGTCATGCTAAAAGAGGATTTGAGTGCTATCCCACTGCTCTTTTCCACAGGTGAGGGAAATTCTGAAGCGCACGCCCACGAAGGCCAGGAACAGCATGGGTAAGATGGAGGGAAGGGAATGATTTGTGCTCTCCTGAAAGGAATTGCTTGGGTATCTCACAGAATATTGATCCTTCCAGCAGGACACGAAAGTATGCTGGCACACTTTCACTGAAAAAACCAAACCAACAAACTAGAGGTTGAAACAAATGCGTTTTCTGGGCATAAAGTCAGACTTTCTGGACCGTGGTTTGGATAGGACGTGGTAATGGGAGCTTGCTTTTCATTTCTACAGGTGCAGGATCTGGCACATAACTTGCATTTCATGAATTGTTATAAAATTGGATTCGATTGCTCTGTGATCTGCTTTTGAAAATTCAGATTTCAAGTGCAATATGTTGTATTAGTTCTTTCAGCAGCATATTTTTCTTGCCATTTCGATAGAACAATACGTCTATCCAGGTTATTTTTATTACTGCAGCCTTAAAAATTATCTCCATGAGCTGCCCACTGAAATATGTGACTTAAATGCGACCATTTTGAAGGCACTTTTGGGATGACTCTGAAGTACTCAGAGCTATTGTTTTCTTGAGGTTCAGAATATATATATATATATATCTAGGTGTGCTTATTCTCTTTTATCCCACCCATTGTGAGATCATGACACATTTTTCCCTAGTGGCAAAGAGGTGATGGTGCTCCTTGTCTGGTGTGTTTTCTGAAAGTCTTTCTGCAAGTTTGACCACTTATGGACAGATCACAATGCCCAAGGATAATGTACCTGGCAAAGAATGTGCTGTAGCAAGATTCTGCATGGTCTTGATCTGACTTTTTCTAGCAACAGATGTCTTTGGTACAGCAGCTGGGGTGGAAAATAGATTCATTTAAGTTTCCCTGAAAATAGAACTCCAGTATTTTTGAAGTTACATTTAAAACCAAACCCAAACAAACCCCCCCAAACCAAAACGCCGTCTCTTTTTCAACCAAAAACAATTTGCCTTTTCCCACTATGAAGTTTTGAAGTTATGATTACCCACGCTGTTTCCTTTACAAAAAAAAAATGCCCTTGCAAGTAGAGGTCTCAAGAATCTGTTGAAAAATTAAGGTCTTTGGAAAGTGTTGAGGGGAAAGCTTGAGAGAAGCAATCCGTCCTACGAGGGCACAGTAGGAAGGGAAGGAGCATTTTATTAATGGGGGATTTTTTTTGCCTCTCACTTAGAGTTTTCTCTATTTTAATGGCTTGTTCTGGTTTGTAGTGTAACCAAAGTCATTATTAGAGATCGAAGCACTAGCAGTGGTTTTCCAGGTTTGTTTTATTTTAATGCTAAGGTGAAAATACAGGCTGATGCACTTCAAGCTCAGGTCAGCTCAAGATCCCATTTGACACAAAGTAAGTATTTTAACGTTGCCATCCTCTCCTTCTTTCTGGTCCACAGCCAAACCATGACTGTGCATCACGTTCACCCTAAATTTACTGGTTGTTTTGGTCTTCTGAGACCTTCCCCCAGAAGTTTCATATGTTTCATATGTCGCTAAGGCTTTCCCATCTCTCTGCTCTTAAGCTTAAAACCACTCACCATGATTGGTTTAAAAGATTTTTTTAAACATCATTGGGCTACTGGGGTTTTTTGTTTGTTTGTTTTTTTGTTTTTTAAGACTTCATTGTTTATTTTGCACAAGAGGCAGGGCAGTGATGTTGAAGTGCTCATAGCAGCCTTTGGTTGTCATAAACATGTTTCCTAATACAATAGGAAGAAAATAACAGACACATGAGCTTATAGATTTTTTTTTTTACAACTTCTAGGGAATGTCACAAAATGAAATCTGTAAGAATGTTTTCTGTTTTTCTGTGCCTACCTGCTGACCGTCTGATATTTTTTTTTATTTTGTTTAGGTATTACCACATTAATAGCAAACAATGTTTATGATGCAGCATACCCACTTCATGATGTAGGTATACTCTGTTAAATATCTAGATCTCTGCTGGTATCACTCAGTAGTGCATAGACATTCATGTTTGCTGGTCTGTAACAATAAACATTTATTCTGTGTGATTCTAATATGAAATCTAGTATAGAAGTGCATTTCAAGTTGTGACCTGAAAGTAAAATCAACAGTGTAGGTAGGAACTGAGCAATCTTTTCTTTAGTTTTATCTGCTTATTTAATTATTTCTTTTCTCTAGGGTGAATATGAAGGCCAAAATGATGACACGAATGAAAGAAAGGTAAAATACATTGCAAATTTTTTTTTTCATATTAGAGTTAATGTGATAAATGGGAATTAATGTTACATATTTTCCTCTATTTCTGCATATAAAAATTGTTTTTGCAAGATTTTTGTAAAGTCTCCTCTGAGGTATGTGAGTAAATTTGATTTGATACTTATTTCTTGAAGTGCATCAAGGTTGTCTCCACATGCATAGATTAGATTTTTCAACCAGTCAGGAAGCAAAGTTGTTAAATTATTTATATAACGATTTTCTTGTCCTAACCAAATGGTACCAGTGAACAGTGTTTACTAGAACGAAACACAGTTGTAGTTTTCATTTGGTTGTTCGTGCATTTAGATTGCATGTGATTTCTAAAAATCTGCTTCCAATTGTTTTGTAAATGAAGTTTCTATCGAAAGACATTTGAAAATAAATCACCCGCCAAGTGTCTGCACGAGAGAAGCTGTGAATTCAGACTGTGTTCAGTACACATGCTGCCTGTTAGAAATGGGGGAAAGCAATTAATTACTTTAATCTATTAAGATCCATTCCATGTTGTTCTCTAATGTTTACTCATTTTATTTTCCTTGATATGCAAACAACAGGGTAGGAAGTGAAGAGGGAAGATAGTTGGGAGAGGAAGGGGAGGAGGGAACAATGAAGGGAAAGGGAGTATTTGGACACTTACCATGTTTATTATACTAGAAATCAAATTACATATAATTTTTGGTGACCTGTAAATTATTTTATAAATATTTTTATCTCTGGCATCAGGTATTGGTATGAGCCATGTGTTCCTTGAGGGAGAGTTAGGAAAATGCCACGATTTGGCAAAACCAGAGTAGTTCTCAAGAGTGTAAAATTGCCACAACTGATAACTATTTCAGCACTAAAATGGAGACTGAGCTCACAGGTCACACAAAGAAATTTGACTTCTCCCATGCTGGGTTAGTAAAATTTGCAAACATAATCTGTGTAGTTTTTGGTGAATAATGATAATATTTGGCCACTAGATGTCTTCAAGTACCGTACACAATTTAATTCAGTGTATGAACCTTGGTAAGCAAAAGGGACAAAGTTAGAAAACTAACTATAAAGCATTATATTTGTGCCTGTTACTTTGATTTTTTTTGTTTGTCAAGAAATTGTCTGCTCTGAACTTGCAGAATTTTCTCTGAGCAAGTGATAAAGTAGTGGACTCTGAGAGGCAGCTCCATGGATTACTGACCGAGAAGGAAAGCAAAATTTTTAGAGAGGAAAAGTAAATGAACATCAGCCAATGAAGGAAGATTGGGTACTGTGAAATAGTGGGGGAAAAGGGCCTAAAAGAACTAGTGTCTGGAAAAATACTCACCCTACTAGTTGTATTTTGTGCTGCCTTCTTTTTATTCTGCCTATTAGGCTCAGTTATGAAGTGTTAAGTATTAAAAACATAAAAGCTTCTTTCCAGAAATACTTCATTGATTATTCACATATGTCCCTGCTGCCCAGCCATTGAATCTTCTGTATTATTCCTATGCATAACATCATCTGTTTTCTATCTGAATCTACTAGTCTCAGTGTTTAATTTCCTGAAAAAACCTGATCAGGTTTAAAGGAAAGAAGGGCATATTTGAGCTTTTTTTTTTCTTTTTTTTTTGAGTTTCTACCCCTTTTTTATTTTTGCCCAGTATCTTTTATTTCAATTTTCTTTTGTATAAGCCCAAAAAAAAAAAAATGAACTGGGTCTATCTGGGATACTTATGCCAATAAGGCAGCACAAGTAATTCAGGTTTATGTACCAATCTGTAAAATAAAGGGTTAATCTTTATCAACCATCTTTAGGATTTCCTTGGAGAAAATGCACAACGAAGCAACTCTTGTGTCACAGCCTATGAGAAGAATAAGAGGTTTTCAGTCTTTCCTAAGTCTTGTTTGGAATAAAGGATTTTTCCCTGTTTCAGTGAGATTTCTGCTCTAGAAAAAAAAAAACCCCAATCTTTTTAAGAAAGCTCTTGCACAGCAGCCTGGTAATAACTCACCATGAGTATAAACACTGGCTTGGTCTTTAAGCTTCCAGCCCCCTTGGCAAATTGCAACCCTTGCTTGATATCCGTCTGTTTGACATTAAGAAATCCATGAGGGCTTTGTTACCTACCTGGGAAATATGACCTGTTGTCATATGCTACAGCAACATCCCCACAATATTGGAAGCAGATTAGAAAATGTTATTATAAACTTACAGAGAGAGCACGATTTTTAAATGAAGCTGATAAAATATAGTAAACTACACTGCAAAACTCGTCCTAGAGTTCCTTTCAGTTTAATAAATATCATGAAAGGAAGCACATTGAGGCTTCCAGACTAAGCCTAATCTCGTAAAATTGCAGTGTTGGGACTGAGGTTTAGTGTGGGCAATACACATGAATGGAAAATTTTCATGCCCTAGGTTCACTTCTGCTGCAATGGCTTTTGGAATCAGAATAACCAGTGTGATTCTGGAGTGTGACATAATGCCATGACAGCCTGTTCCTAAACAGACAGCAATTTTACAAAGATCTTTCTTTTTGCTCCTCAAATTCTGTTCTGTAGCTGTGTTCAAACCAGCTTTTAGGTAGCTTTAAGAATTTAACAGCTTTAATTGTCTTCTTTTGTATGCTTGAGTGAATGCACTTAGCAGTATGATTATTTATGGAAATAACCAATGTTTTGTAGGTCATGTTGTGGAGTAATGACAAGGGATGATTTTGAATAGGTAACAACAAGTATTCATATGAAAATATCAATATGTCAGCCTCTTGAACTCCTGATGAAGTCAAAGGAAGTCAAACCCATTCTCAAAATTTCTTTCCACGATTGCAAAGCGTGTGCTCTGTAAGGGCAGCATTCTGCAATCCAAGACTCCACAATCCTTGAATCTCATTGCCCAATTCCCAATTGCTTAAAAGGCTTGCTCCCTGATCTGTGAACAGAAAATACTTCATGCTGTATTTCTGATGAGTACCCAGTGGCATAGCTCTGCACATTTAAATTTTCTTTATTCTGAACAGTAACACTTCATAAGGAAGAGGTTTGCAGAACCCAGGTCTTAGCTGCTTGCTTGATATTTATTTAGTTCTTTCACGTAGCATCTGCAGGAGGAGAGGCATCCTTCACTTTTTCTGAACTCCCTCCACTTCTTTTTGGAAAAGAGGGACAACAGGTTTGACATCCATTTTTTTGGACAATAAAAAGCTATAATCTATAAATAGGGACACTGTTAATTTAGTTTCATTTATAGTATTTTTCTCCTTTTTCTTTTTTTTTTTTTTTTAATGCACTCTGTACTTCCATGAACAGTTTTCAGTGACCACGTTGTCTTAGACTGTCTACAGTCCTCTGACAGCATAAAACTGTGAAAGGAATACAAACAACCCAAGGGTTGCTGGTGGGGTTGGAGCCTCGTAAGTTTGCACTGGAGTATGGAAAACTGCTTCCTTTTGGTGCACATATTTTTAACTCTTAGAAGATGTTTGTAAAAAAAAAAAAAGAAGGGGTAACTTGTTTTAAGTTGATTTTCTGATTTTTTTTTTTTTTTTTTTAAATTTGTTTAGTTGCTGTATCGAGAATGGGCGAGATATGGAGTGTTTTACAAGTTTCAGCCTATCCATCTCATAAGGTAATGTGGACTTGAATAAAACATCAAGGGACCTGGCTCTCAGCTGATGTTAATTTCTAGTGACTTCAGCAAATCTTGGATTGATCAGAACATTAAGAAACATGTTTTCACTGCTTTTCTGTGGCTCTGATGATAGTTTACTGTAACCAAAATACACTAAACAATTATGCACTTCTGGTTTTTGTGTAGTACTTATCCCTGGAAGAATGTCATACTCTAGGCTGGTTGTTTTTTTTTTTTTAAGTATTAATTCTATCAAAAAAAAAGGAATTTCCATTTACACTGGTGAAGTTTTATTGAAGACTATGGTCACAAAAGCTGGTGAATAACCAGAAGCTGGTGGTCTCATCATGAATCAGGGTGAAAGTATCTGACAGTTTCGAAATTGAGTTGATTTTTTTTTTTACTCCTGGTTTTACAAGTTTTAGTCATTTGAACACATCCATACGTGTTCCCAGTGGTTTTCTTGTGTATTTCTGATTTTTTTTTCTTTACAGACATAGAACAAGTTGGCCTTAACATAAGACAAAACAAACCCATCATGCTTTTTAAGGGTTTTGCACAATCTCTCTAAAAGAAAACCAAAACAAAACAATTTTTGTTGAATAGTATAATATACTATAATAATATTGTAATACTAAACCAATACTACTATAATAATAATAATATAATAATAAAATAACACTACTACTAATAGAATAATACTATAAATATTGAATAAAGAAAAGAAATGTTTGAGAAAACAGCTAATTTGAAATATTCTGACAAGTGACTAGGAATAAATGAACCTGTGATATTAACAAAGAGGAAAAAAAATAGAAAAAGCTCAACAAATACCTGTTTCTGGACAATTTGTGTGCATAGGAAAACTGGCATTTGTTACTATTTATCTTCTGAATAATGGAACTCCAGCTAGGTTTTATTACCTGATCTGCCCCTATGTCATTACCTGCAAAAGCTGGTGTTGGTAATATGGAGAGTCAATAATCTTTGTAAATTGTGTGTTTGTTGTATTTTGAGTTAAAGCTGAAATACTGGATATAGTTTTTCAAAGAGTTAAGCACTAACTTTTAATGTGAGAGGAATTGCTCTCTGCTGGGAGGGAGAAGGACGTTTCAGATTGGCAAGTGGTTGTGAGACCATCAAACCCTGTCCAGGTTCTGCAAGGCTCTGAAATTTCCTCTTCTTTTACCTCAAAGTTTTTTGGGGCAAGATTTACGTGCTTTTGGAACAACAGTCATTTCAGGCCAGGCTACTGTAAGGAACAGGTAAACTCAGAGCAGGATTACAACACCTGCTGTGTTGTTAGTAAATATTACAGGTGTGAAATTAAACTGTGACTGGCTAGAGGAATTCCCCAGTTTTACCAGACCAGCTGAATTAAAAATGAAGGTCCATCTGCTTACACTCCATCTTCATTTGTATTTTGCTGTCTCCATTATAATGTTTCTCTCTGCTGATATGATTTCATAGAGGTTCTGTGGTTTAAACTTCTGTGAGAAAATTTAAAAAAAAAAAAAAAACCAGACATGTGCAATTGATTCTCTGTTCTCAGAGACGATTTTTCTTGCTTTTATCTTCCATGCTTTGCTTGACTGCAAGTTTGGCTGTTACCACTAAAATAAATGTGGTTTTTATTTCCTGGGTAATGTAAGAGCTTTAGTGTGTATATATACCTGAGGAATGACCACCCCTCTCTTTCTGCAACTGCAGGAGGTTTCTTCACTTCTGTGCCGTGGGGAGGTTTGACCTCAGTCTCAGTGTGGATATTTATTCCCTTGGCAGACATCAGTCACACTTGGTGCATTTTGAGAATTTACTGTGATCCTTCTTTCTTAGATTACTTAGATTATACCCAACATTTTCTTTTTTTCTGGTTATGGCAGGACTGTGTAACGTAGCAAGTTTACATTCAGGCTTTGATGGGCAGAAGCAGCAGCATTTATTTTGCCTTAAACCCTGTTTTGACTGGTGTTTTCAAGTGCATTAGCTCTGTTGAAGTATGTTGCTTCAATAATATTCACATGCCCAAATTAATTACACTTTCTTAGTCTAATTTTTCATACAGCTTGCAACAGTGGAAATATTTTTAACTATTCCTCATTCACCTTTATTCAGTAGGAATGCAAATTGCAAGTCCTTCCTTAACTAAAGTGTCCATGCAGGATGACTAGATGTGGCACTGTAGATGTATTATAAATTATCCCTGGTGCCTCAGCACCTTGCTTCTGAACACACAGTCGTTGCCAGTTCCTAACTGATTGTACACCAAAGCTAGAAAACACATATTTGTTATTCTCCCTCGTGGTACAGGTCTCTTCTAAGGTCTGACATCCTGAGGGAATTTAACTGCACAGTCAGCCTTAGAAAATTTGCAAGTTCTTAATAACAAAAGGAGATAAAAGACCACGACAATATTGACTGACAGTTCCATTCACCTCTGTCTCTTAATCTGTAAAAACGTTTTGAGAGGGAAATCACGAATTATTTGGTAACAGATACCTTAGGCCAGAAGTACTGAGAAGGCTTTACCCTGTGTCTCAGACACCCCTGGACTGGGAAGGCATGAGGGATGTATTTACAAGCAGAGGATGAAAGCTGCAGTCCTAGGATGTGCAGGGCTCTGGAAATTTGCACCTCTTCTGTCATTCAAGTTTAATTAATTTTTACTAGAGAGGAGTTTCTCCAGTGTGCCTGTCACTTAGGAGGTCTAAATGACAGAGGAAGGGAGTAATCCAAGGTTACTGCTGTCACAAAGTGGTGGTTACCCTTCTGATACAAAGTCTTACTTAACTCCTGGAAAACCAGGAAGTTTTCTTCTTAATGGACATCTTAAAGCACCTGCAGGTGGAAACCTATGCAAGAACTGAAATTCCAGGTAGGGGACCATCACTGTAGAGAGGAGGTCCCCTTTTGGTGTCTTGTTATTGGTATAAGATTACCTCACCTTAGGAAAATCAAGCAGAATTAGATAATTTTTAATTGTGATGGAGCTTATTTTAGTATGAGTGCTTCTGCAAGGTCCCAGCTAATCTCCTTTTTCATGTCTTAATTCCTATTTCCCATTGCTGGGACTTCACTAAACTTAATAACTAAGAAAGAGGCTACATTATCTATAGCATGATTACTTTCAAAGCTCCAAGTGCCTCTTGCTGTAAAGCCTAAAACTGGGAAGACATGTGGAGATTAAGACTATGTATACAATAACTCTTTTTGCAGGAGTAGGTGGTAGTAAATATTATTTACAGTGTATAGCCCATAAATCAAAACTTGGGGAGTTTCTGTTGCTCAAGCTGTCTACCTAATATATTTCCTCCTTCCTATCTTCAACTATGTTTTCCTTTGGTGTGGAAAGTTGTTTGAACTCGGTCTGTGATGAATTCTGGCCTTTCCTCGCAGTGTACCCGTGGTGAACCTGCTCTTGAAAGAACAGTTCCCAGTCCCCTCCTGCTCCTGCTCAGGGATGCTGTGTTCCTCCATCCTGTAGCTTGCTTTTCCTGGCAGTTTTCAAAGCAGTGACAGACCTGTGACCCAAAGTCTGAGTGGCTCAGCTCTGGACACTGCTGCCTTCACTGTCCATGCCCTGGGGTCTGTGCAGTGCAGGGCTCAATGTAAGTGTTTCTTCCATGGTGAAGATTAATTTGTCTTACAGCATTCCCCTAACTGTGGCCCTCTATCTTGCCTAATACACGAGCAAATCACTGCTCCTTTCACCACCATGCTTTGTGGTCACATCTCTTGAGGAGGAACATTTGACTCCACACACTCTCCAGAATTGTAAGGGCTTCAAAATAAAGTCTGCCATGCCCCTCCCTAATTCCAGCTGCACACACACATGTTGTTCAGGCATTGTTTATCCTAACTTTGGGGCTGTTGGTCCTCAAAGTGGTGATTCTCCTGTATGCTTTAACTCCTCTGCTCCCCTGTCTGCTCCTCTGTTGTTGTTCTGATCTTTATTTTTTTGTGGAATGGAACCCCTTTGGCAGAGAGCAGCCCTGTGGTATGTAGTTTCCTTTTTCCTTTGAGGGAGGAGGGAGCTTGCTTTCTTTTTGGATATTAGTGACCCCTGTGTTGAGAGTGCTGTGCTTTCCCCCTTAGGCCAGTGAGTTTCTGTAGCATTCTGAGACAGCACTCATTCCTGCCATCCTGGAGAGAGTTCCCTCTGTGAAGATGCTGAGGCTCTTTGCAAGGAATTCTGTATCAGGAAAAAGAAAAAAAACAACCAGATTTAAGCCTGAGAAAGTCCAAAGTGAGAAAACATAGCGCTAAGTAGAAAAATGCCCACGAGCTCTACCAGTAACTTTGGCAGCTGTCCATCGAGCTCCTTCCCAAACCTCTGCCAAGAACATGCCTCAGGCAATAATCTGAGCATATCTTCTCACTGTAACCCTGTTGCACTCTGGGTCCAACATCTTTTTGTAGTTCCAAGAAACTCTACAGCAAAGTTTCGTTCCCAACATGCGATATGTTGAGCTCACAGTTCACCATTAAAGGTCTGGGTTAGAGTGGGAACTGCTGTGCCAGCATCCACTCATCCTTGATGTCCTCCATGCCAGTTTTTACAGCAGAGAGATCCTTGGAGGAAGCCAGCAGCAGGTGGGACCCCTGGGGCAGAGTCCAAGCTGTTGAAAAAGGAACACTTTCTCCATCATTATAGCTCTTTCCCCTTCCCAGTGTCTGTGTGATCTCATTACCCCTCACAACACCACTTTATTTATGAACAGCCTTTAGCATCATGTCATACACCCATTAAATGGTCTGCATAATTTGGTGCTCGGTGCTAGGACAGCAATTTTCGTGTGAGTTGTGGGGAGTTTCCCCTCCCCTTGCTGGAACTTCTCATCACAGGGTTTACCCGAGTGCTCCAGCCATTGTTTATTGCAAAGCAGAGGGTTTTTGCTCCTGATGCATAAATCACTGGAGAGTTTGTATTGAATTATTCTGCTGGATGCTCTCTCTCCAGCCTGTGACTGAAGTGAGATGATTTACTTACAGCCCTG